GGCGGTCAACTTTCAAACAATCTATTCATGAAATACATAAATGGGTAATGTTTTTATTTAAGGGGGGACAATCATCGAATGACTTCTCCCATCGAATCGAATCGAAACATCGAATAAATAGGTAATGCTGGAACAACAATCGCCAAAAAGCTATGCGTCCCAAATAGTTGAAGATTTCAACGTCATTTAGTTCACTAACAAACAATTATAGTTCTAAATCGCACTAAGTACTCAAGACAAGCCTAGACATTCACTCTCAGAGTCTAAAACACAAACAACTAAAACAAATTACACAACATCAAACTCTATTTAGTCATGACCTCGATACGATTGTATAATACGTACATAAACGTAACTATAATATACGACAGTTTACTACGGCGTGTATACTACTGTATATATTGTATTTATAATATATATATGTACATAATAATTATGGTTGTGCTGTTAGTATAGTGTAAGTTGCACGTACGCCGTGCCACTAGAGTACTTGTATAAGCGAGATGATTGGTTAGGATGTGTTTATATTGGGATGGGACGGATTTATATCTAGGTATTTGTTTTTAATTTTAAAGAATAATAACTAGTAATATAACTACCGTAAACTATTATCTTGGTTATATTATATCAAACTTTTGACTGGTCATAATATATAATGTTTTTGCATCTCTTCAATTTATTCAACAAATTAAAAGTGATATTTGACTGAGTTGATATTTTAGCATGGACTATAGAATATATTCACTCTTCTCTGCGTCACCCAAAGGTCAGACTGGGAGAAAATGCCTGCAGCACTTTGTGCATAAAGCATTAATAAATATGTGTATATATTATGATATTTCATTCATATGTAATTATCTTCATTACACAGCAATAGTCACTTTTCACTTCAACTGTATTTAAAAAACCAGTAGGTAACCCACGAAAGCATATATTAATACGTATTAAAAGTAACAACAGATTACCAAAACTCAATTTAACACTAACAAAATAAAGTTCAATTTCCCTTCCCACATTCAAACCTAATTTTCAAGTAAACTCCCTGTCGATCGATTGGAAACCTAACCTAGACGATGTAATAAAATATTAATCCAGAATGTTCAAATGACACATTCTACTAACTACATACATGGAAATGCAATGAATCACTTCATTTTACGAAGAAAATACATTGTATTGTATTAGTAATTTGAAACATTTCCCGTCAGCCATTTTATGTCGATTGGAATTAAGGTAAGGTGTCGGAAAATCACATTGGATTTTGTTCGTGGGAATTAGGCGAGGCAGTCGTGTTGTTATTAAATTACTAATGAAGACTTTTGTTGATTGACATTACCTACAGCGAAGTAACTTGATAATAAATTAAAGATTGATTCAATACAGATTTAGCAGATCGTGTTTTACTAAATTGTATTTTTTTAATATGCTCAATTATGTCTTTTAACTATTTATGGATTCAGTACCTAACCAAGGGTTCCTATTATTAAAATATGACAGCCTTAAAAATAGCTAATCCAACTACAATTATAGACAAATATACGACAATCACAACGTTAGTTCGAAATCAAAACTACCTCCCATAATCCCATTCGTACAAATCCTTTTCCATTATAAACGCGCCTTAACGCGTCGCAGGCGCAGCTGCACGATGCGCACACGCTACCGGTTCTGCGGGCTAACGACCCCCCTTCCCCCCTCCCTTGTTACCCGCCATCGATACTACCAAACGGAAAATTTTATAACCACACAATATTAGATTTACGTTTTCATTTTATAATAGCTGTAAAATGTAAATGTTTTGTTAGTCTGTGCTAGGATTTTGTTATTTATGTTGTGGAAATTAGAACAGTATTTTAGACTTGTTTTTTTATTTATATGATGATGTTCTGTCCTACAATGGAGCACGCCTGTCTACAAGTAACCTGTTGTTATTTAACACTAGTATTCTATAAGGTATTTTTAGTCAATAACTAAGTCTATTGACTGCCTCGATGGCCGAGTGGTCGCAATTGCGACAGCCAGACAAAGGGTCATGGGTTCGATTCCCGAGTCGGGCAAAGTATTACTGGGTTTTTAAAAAATCTCAGTAGTAGCACGGAGTCTGGAAATGTGCCCGGTATATGACAATAGGCTCACCCCCTATTACATGGGACTCATAACATAAACAGTGAAAAGTGGGTGTTCCATTGTACAGTGGCATAATGTGCAACTCTGCCTACCCCTTCGGGGGTAAAAGGTGTGATGTTATGATCATGAAAGATTAGACCTCGTTTATTCTTTGAAAGTGAATCCATAACACCTCAGTCAGCTCATACAGTTCCGACTAATCTAAGACACAGTCTATTAAACTGAGCGAAATAAGTCAGCTCAATTTTGTCTCACAGCGTTCACCCATCCTTATCAAGGGATCACACGTCACAGTGTTCCATAAAAGCTGATCCAACTACTGAATTAAGTGATCCTACTGCAAGATCACGTTAACATAGTTGCTGTGTCGCAATATCTTAGATTTAGATCTGTCTAAGTATTCTAGGTGGTCCGGTTTGTCTATCAGACTATTTTACCTTATTCAGTTTACAAAATATGTCAATGGATTGATCCATATCGATGTAATTGATTTGAAATTTTTCTTTAGCTAAGACAATGTCAGTGACTTGACTATTAGACTGTGAGCTTTCTTTACATAAGAAGGTTTGCCATATTCTCCGCGAATGGGTTGGCGATTGTTTTTTTCGTATAATGGTTTCGAACAAATACTACTTACTTAACAGTCATCATCATACAGCAAAATGATAGGTACTCTTCATGAAAAATAATGACCATAAAAACGAATGCCTTTTCAAGAAAATTCAGGCATAAGAAGATCTACTTCTTTGCTTACAATGTAACCACTATGACTTATAATTGGATATTTATTTATGTAATCTATCTTGAATAGATTATTAATAATATCAAATGGCATTAAGCATAAACTTAATAAACACAGGAACATCATCCACATCGTATGATCGTACTACTGTGTACATTGCGAATCGTATAACGTACAAACGCGATTCTAAATTTAAATATCGATGAGAGAGCGAGATGGAGAATGTGCTCGTGCGCATGCATTGGATTGTGATGACGCTGGATATGAAATTGAATTTAATTAAAAAGCGTAAGAAATGTTTAGCATGAATTTTATAGATTTTTTGGTAAGGAAATTTTTTTTACCTGTCTAAAGTACTTATAAATCTTTACCTCTATGTTTTTTTAAACGTTGCGGTTTCCTTCTATGTCGTGCGATTACAAACATACAAGATCACATACACATGGCACCTGGACCCGAAACAACAAGTTATGGATCACACAAAGAGTTGCGCCGTGCGGGAATCGAACCCGCTGTACGTTGCGCGGCAGCCGGTTGCTCAGCCGCTACTCCAACCGTGCAGTCACTATTTGTACTTGTACTGTACTGTACACTTACGTTACGAAGACTAACAATTTCATACTAAGTACGGTTAAGTCTGTTTCTTACGCCTTTGGAAGTCCAAAGGCGTAGGTACACGACCACACATCAATCTATACAAAACCAGTTTATCCTGGTGTCGCGTCGCATCATCTTTCCGCACATTTAACGTTCAGTTTATACTGGTGATGTAAAGCTCGATGTGTAGCCTAGTGTACCTTTATTCTTCAATATTCTTTAACAAAGTCATTAAAGGTTAACCTTGGAAAGTCAGCGATAACTTTATGACTCACATTGTTAAGTCAATATCATTGTCCTGACTCTGAACTGTTAAGCGCAGGCTATTGGAAAATATATTCTATGTCCCTTGTTTTAAGTAGCACTATCTACTTGCATAATGAGCATAACTATTTTTCCTAGTATGCTTTTGTCATAGCGACTCATAGTATGTACTATTTACACTTGTTCTTTGATTTCAGTCTCTTCCTAATAAGATAACAAAATGCGTTAGATTTCATAGTCTTTGTCCTTGCACTATATGGGGCAAAATTTAAAAATAAAAAAATACCTATAGTATGTACAATTTACGAAAAATATTTGTTGCCAACTGAATAAAAGTCATTTAAGTAGTAGTAATGTTATGTATTTCATAAAGATCAAAAGTAGGCAAACTAGAAATGTGAGTGCGAGTTTCTTACCCGCGAAAATAAGTGTCTCAAACACTAACAGAAACTTTATTCATAATAATATTAAAGTACTATCCAGCTGCAACATAATCCACATTAAACAGACTTGTCTTGCGCTCGCGCGCCCTCCCCTCCCCCACGTCCCCCTCCTCCCCCCGTGCGTAAACGTGACCCCGAGACGTGAACTCAAACTTACAATCTTTGTTTTTTATTTGAAACGCCTCCCCGATAGTGTGTCGTTATTGTATCGATGTTGCCCACTTTTTCGTTAAGTGGTAGATGCGTTTTATAGTTTGTATGAGTTGGACTATTATTGTGTAATTAGATTGTATTTTGTATGTTTGTTTTATTGCTTGTGATTGTGTTGGCTTTTGTTTGATTTGAAGTGAAGTACGAGTATGGATTTTATTGTAAAAATTTTGTCTGCAGATATGCTCGATTTATTATACAAGGATCTTGTATGATATTATCAAACTGTAGACGCAATTCATTTCAATGAATCAGTTTTTGGAACTAACAAATCTGATGATCCGAAAGCTAAATTATGATCAGGAATGTGGGTAGATTGCCATATATGTATAGGCCCCGGCACGGAGCAGGGGTTAGAACCGGGTTCAGTAAGAGTCTAAAACTCTTGCTTGCCTCACTTAGAGTGGGAAGAATGATTTAAGTTCCACTAAGAAGGCCACTTGTCAGGCCCAGATATTATAGAATCTAAATCCTTAAACTAAGTCGTCCTCAAACTTAGTCGCACTTACAACTCAATACAATAGTTTTACAGAGCAAAGACTCACAAAAAAGTATTTACAAACAAATCATAAAAAATTGATAGTTAGGTATAAAAACTATTCTCATGACAAACGAAAAAAAAAACATAAAACCATTGTTGTGACACAAATTGTCACACTGTCAAATTTCACTAATCAGTATGGTTTGTTATGTCAGAGACCCAAATTCAAGTTAATCCCAAACAGTTATTGACCTCAAAAATTATGTGCAGAAATTAACAGTGGATCACATTCCCAAACCGACATGTACCCAAATAACACCTTTTTATGGAAGATATTTTTGTTGCCATTCCGCAAAGGGGGATAAAACATAATGTAAGTACCATCTTCAAAGTTATAGATAGGAATCAGTGTAATACATAATAGAAGAATCAATCTAAGTATATTCATTAATAATAATAGTTTCGAAACCTAAGCTGTTAAATACGTATTCTAATTTATAAAAATAAGCAAATGATACTCATTGATATTTCTCAGTATGAGTAAGGTATGTTGGTAGAAGACAATTTCATAGGCACCTAAATATACCTGTGAAATTGTCTTTTACCGAATACCAATAATATTTAGGATTGAAACCTAGGCTACAGAAACAAAAACACTTTTTATTATTGCTATGAAATAAATCCATTATTACATTTATACAGCACCTGCAATGGAGCAAATCTTCATGATCGAAGTGTTCGTCAAAAGAATCGTCTTGAAAATAGAACCACCAGAAAAAGATGAGTACGAACTGCAGCAGGAAGAGGAGGAGAGGCGGAGAGAAGCAGAACGGCTTGCAGCTCTAGAAGCTCTCCTAAAAGGAAAAAAAGGTAAAAAGGGAAAAAAAGGAAAAGCTAAAAAGGGGAAGGGGAAGAAGGGTAAGAAAGGTAAGAAAGGAAAGGAACCACCTGGACCATCTGAAGAAGAACTGAAGTATATGCAAACATGCACTATGCAGATGAACTGCCTACCCCTCTTTGATTTTTATGTTGCACATGACAACTTCGTAGCGCCACCGCCACCTGCTCCTCCTCCAAAAAAAGGCAAAAAGGGTAAGAAAAAAGCGAAACCAAAGAAAAAGAAAGGGAAAAAAGGAAAAGGTAAAATAATGCCAATAAAGCTTCAGTTACCATCCGAACCGTTACCACAACCACCTTACTTCGGGGTTGGTAATTCAGTCATGTTTTTATCGAGACCTTCGAAATTAGAAGAAATATTAAGGAAGACCCCGATCTACGTGACTGTATGGAACAGAGATCAAGAGATGGGTTGCATAGGATTCTCCATTGTGGAATGGCATGAATCATTTTTCGAATGCCTTAAAAAATCCGAAGATTTGAATCCAGTGAACTATGATCAAGCAGAATATCGAGATACTAGTAAACCAGAGATGGTCACCAATACTGTAGAAATGGTTCGACCGCTGCAGTGTGAGGAAGATTTAAAGGCATCAGGGGAAATAGAATTTTACTTACGACTAACATGTTTAGGTAATAGAGTGATCAGTTCATTCATAGCGCTTCCTGAGATGGAACGCATACCTGGACGAAAATACCTTTGTGATGACTTGAAACTTAAGGATATTGAAGTGGTTAGACACTGGGAAGGTACTATGATAGAAGAGGTGCCACCTGTAGCTTATTTCTTTAGCGCTCCTGACATCACAAGGGAACCTATAAAACCAGTAGAGGAGATAGTACGGTATGAAGAATTCGTTGCTCCATTTACTCGGAGTGAGCTGGCGATTCTATCTATGGGCTTTCCTAAAGGACCTTGTGGTGGTACTAACTGTCCGAAGAGAATGGAGTATAGAGGCAGTCAGCATCAATTTATTCCAGGAGAGATGGTTAAAGGGAAATACCAGCACGGTCAGTTTGTGAATAAGCGAGATGTCCATGGTCCGTGTGGACGACTCGACTGTCCTCTGGCTAAGAAAGTTCGTGCATACATTTGTACTGATGGCAGTTATAAACCTTGCAAGAAACCTTGTTGCAAAGACTACTATTAGTAATTATACGCATTTTTAATCTAAATTGTTTTAGCAGGTGACAATACAAAATTAAAGTGACCGAAATAGCAAATGAAATAATAAGATCATACTAAATTGTTTGTGTATTCACATGTTTTAAAAATAAAGAAATAATAAACTTGTAAGATAGATCAATCAATACGATGGTAAGACTAAGAATAAAAAGCGTAAAACATTTTTGTCCTTGTTTTTGTTTTTAATATTTTTTACGTAGTTTTTAGTTTTTTGTGTTAATACTATTTTTGGCCTACTTTACTTTACCGGCAAGTAGTTTTGTTTCGACTTCCATTTATAAACAAAAATTGAATCATATGTTGATTGAAATCAAAGTCAATGTCAAATCATTTTTTATCAATTAATTATTAATTATGCACTATTGAGACGTTAAAAATTGAATTGTACGTCCGTCTGTCTATCAATAAAGCTAGTCGCTCGTTCTAAAGTATAGTTTCGAATGAAGAAGAATGAGCATAACACTACACCGTTTCTTTTTTTTTTTTTAAAATATACAGTCTCATTGATACATTATCTGATCCTTTAGCTATTGTTTATACCTCAGAACATATACTCCAACGCCAAATTCTAATGAGACTCCGGAATCAAGTCTTGAAATAAATGATATCGTATAATCGTAACAGCAGACCTCTCTCTCATCATCATCATCACTAACAGCCTATGTGCCCACTGCTGAGCAAAGCCTCTTCTCACACGGAGAAGGTTTGAGCATTAATCACATCGCTTGCTCAATGCGGGTTGGTGATTACAAACTTATTATTAGAAATTATAAGCCCAGGTTTCCTCACGATGTTTTCCTTCACCGTTTGTCAGTGGTGTCTAGACAATCTTAGAAAGTACATATAACTCGGAAAAAGTCACATTGGTACTTGCCGTTGGTAGGTTTCGAACCTGTACCCTCATGAAGAAGAAGCGGGCGTCTTAAACCTCCGTGCCACCACGACATTTATGTTCAGAACTCTCTCTACTTATACAAAATTTGTTTTTATAGGACAAAAACAAGTAATGATTCATTTAGTGCACTTTCTCTTTTAAACTTCGCACCCAAGGATAATGAGGGCAAAACAATTATCGCATGAGATCATCGTCAAGTCATTATTCTGAATTGAAATTGAATAAGACATAAAAATTATGCGCATTAGTTGTAGAGAATTACAAAAGAGATTAAGTCAAAACTGTTTTGGTTTACTCTACTGTTTGCAGGCAGTTATCTATTAAGTACACGGTGCGATTAATTGTATGTGTGGGTATTTTACTGTTCTTTCTATGTCCAAGTTCGGTATAGGATGGAGTTGATGATGTTAGTCTTAATAAACTCTGTCTGTATTTGTATCCTCACCAGGAGCCTTACCCACCTCACCAATATCAGTTAGTTTAAGATTTCTCAATGTGTAGACTTAACAATGAATTTCTAGAAGTCTTCGCAGAAAAGCATCATTTTGGTTCAGCCACAACAAAACGAGTCTTTGATTACGCTGCACTGTCTAACATAATAACAATCAAAACCTATTGTCCTGTCATATTTACATCAACAAAACACCCTAAATTCGAACTGGGCGATGTGGTCGCTAAGCGACAAAGCCCTTTAAATCATGGCAATTACAGATCAACAATAAACGAACGGATTCGCGACCAAAACGAAGTCGAACATTCGTAATAACACGTTTTGAACAACAATGACCATTTAAAAGTCCATAAAAAATCTTGAACGTCCTAATTACGGTTTTAGCCTCTCGCGAAGCGTGACGCTGTCCGAATCTTACTAATGATGACAGTGATTTTCAAAACCAATTAAATATTACCATCATTCAAATACATATTAGTCCTTACCACAATCGCTTTAGGGACTTTGTTAGGTCTAAGTAGCTGTATGTATAATTTGGTTTTCACATGATATGGGCCAAGGAAATTGAGTTTGCAATCCTTGCGTGTGCATGATTTTCTTGGAAACAGATTTTCTGAGAGTATCAAGGATTACTGTGTAGTTTTGTTAATGTTTGTGTTGGGTAATACCCTAGTGTATGTTTAGATTTGATTAATATAAAGAGATGTGGTACTACCGTGGTATTATGACTGTTTCTTTGTTGTACTATTATATTTTGTACTCGCTAATGTAGCAACGCTTTATCATGGCATAACAGCGCCAGCGTAGCAAAATCTCATTATACTACGTCCAAGCAAAAAGTAAGGCGACAATCGGGCTGATATTCATTTGTAAAATAAAAGCAGCTATGTTAGAAGTAGTAAATAATAAAGGAAGAAGTAAATTTATACAATAATGCTACAGGAGCATTATGCGTGGCTCATAGCACTTTTTAGGCGTGGAATGTTCTAATTGGATCTAGTAAATTGTTAAAAGCGTATAAATATTTGAGGGAGATTTTAGCGATAACAAAAATGTGATTGATATTCCCACCATCTGTGGACTAAAAAAGTTTCACTTAACTCTTTGAGTACCGTCATTATAGACACAATTAAAGAACAATAGATTGCGGTCACCGGTGTCCTCGTGATGTTTGACAGTTTAAAATGCCTATACACGGTCACAAAGTCAACGAGACAGTCACATAACAATGATCTGTTTTTATCAAAAAGACCTTGCAACTACCGTCGCATAAAAGCGCATAACGCAGCATTGTTTATGTCAATTTGAATGCATTAGACTAATCGTCGCAGTTGGTTATGGTCAGCGGTTCTTAAGCTGTTTACTGTGTTCATGATTGTAGCTTGGAGTTGGATATCTAACATGATGTTATTATTTTTTTTTATGGCATAAGCCGGTAAACGAGCAGACGGATCACCTGATGGTAAGCAATCGTTGTCGCCCATGGACATCTGGAACATCAGAGGCGTTACAAGTGCGTTACCGGCCTTTTGGCGATTAGTATCGAATGTATTCATATGCAAGCGGTTACTTTAAACCCAGGATGACGTCCTACACTTTGTTTACCCCAGTGGCATTCTATCTCTGCTCGTCAATAGGTTTAAGCGGCTCACTGCCAATTCAACTTGCTAATTCTCAACATATGTAACAGACTGCCTCATTGGCCGAGTGGTCGCAAGTGTGACTGCCGGGTTCGATTCCCAGGTTGGGCAAAGTATTACTGGGTTTTTAAAAATACTCAGTAGTAGCACGGAGTCTGGAATTGTGCCCGGTATATGGCAATAGGCTCACCCCTATTACATGAGACTCATAACATAAATAGTGGAAAGTGGGTGTTACATTTAACAGTGGCATTGAGTGCCGTAATGTGCACCTCTGCCTACCCCTTCGGGGATAAAAGGCGTGATGTTATATATGTATGTATGTAACAGAAATAAATAATGATGTAGTCTTGACTGCATCTTATTGTCAACTTTAGAATCAAAATCAAATTTTACAAAGTAATCTTTGACTATCACTGTTCTCAGTACAAACCATAAACCATGTACTACAGATATATGGTAATTAAAATGGCTGTGGAAACTTCCTATGTTAAAACAGTCAGTATATATGCACAAAGCTTTTATTAGTTCAGTAATCGAGTTATGACATATTGCTGTATATTATGGACGTGATAATGTATGACGATGATTGCTTTGCCAAGGAATTGAATTATGTTCTTGTGTGAACAGATGTTTGGATTTATGTTAGATTAAGTCCTACTATTTGTGTGTTGGTTTTAAATGGTTCATTCAGGTGTGATGTGAACGTGTAGTTCCATAAAAACAGGTTGTTAGGAGTACCAGGTTATCAGGTGGACAGCTGTCAGGACTACCGCAACTAAAAACCGTGAAAATTAATGAGTTCCTAATCCAATTCCTAACGCAATTTTTACTCATCATCATCAACGGCCTATAGTGCACACTGCTGAGCAAAGCCTCTTCTCAATCGGAGAAGGTATACGCATTAATCACCACGCTTACTCATTGCGTGTTAGCGATTTCAAACTTGTAATTAGAAATTTTAAGTCCAGGTTTCCTCACGATGTTTTCCTTCGCCGTTTGTCAGTGGCGTGTAAATAATCTTAGAAAGTACTTACATGTAAGTCGGAAAAAGTCACATTGGTACTTGCCGTTGGTAGGTTTCGAACCCTTATGTACATGAGAAGCAGTCGTCTTAACCACTGGCCCACCATGACAATTTCTACTAATAATAACATAACATAACATAACATCACGCCTTTTATCCCAGGAAGGGTAGGCTGAAGTGCACATTATACCACTGTACAATGTAACACCCACTTTTCACTATTTATGTTATGAGTCCCATGTAATAGGGGGTGAGCCTATTGCCATATACCGGGCACAATTCCAGACTCCGTGCTACTACTGAAAATATTTAAAAACCCAGTAATACTTTGCCCGACCCGGGAATCGAACCCGAGACCCCTTGCCCGGCAGTCGCACTTACGACCACTCGGCCAACGAGGCATTCTACTAATAATCTATAATTATTATAAACTCACACTATATGCATAACGGTAAATGATCTCGACCGAACATTAAATAAGTCGGTACCTAATTCTATTCATAGGCAAGTTGTTTAATTCAAACTTAAATTCGAAGACAACGTGAACTAAATAATTATCTATTCAGAAATACAACGTCCACCATAAAGGTACTCAATACTAAAATAAGAACGAAAAGCTCTAACGCCTTACAAAATGCAATAGCAACAAGATTCCTTCCGTCGAAGCCTTCTCGATTCGAATCACTGCAACAAACGACTTCTTACGAAGGATCCCGTAAAGTAGGGCAATTTTAGGGATATTTTACGGGTTCCTTCTGTTATTTCGAACATTTTTAATTAATGATCTCACCAGTTGTGAGATTTTTGAGATATATTCTATATTAACCATGTAGGTAACAAAACAGCAGCTGACCGAACCAAATTTTAATGCCATTTAGCGCTTGTCTACATGTAGAATAGAAAACAAAATTATATAGAATTGACGTAAATTTTGACAATTGTCAGTGTCATCCCCATACATTTAGTTTTCTACTCTTTTTATAGACAAGCGGTAAAGTTGCGTTTGGCTGAAGGCACAGGTGATCTAACTAATCTTTAATGATCCATACTAAATATTCAAAAAAGAGAAGTGATGATGCACTAATGCCCCTATATCAACCGCTACAAAAATGCC